GGTCCACTGGCTTTCCGAACAAAGTCATTATTCCTTGCCCCAACACCTCGTCTCCCAATTTACTGGCCTGCCGTGCAGCAAGCAGAATGAGTTTGGACTCGGTAACATCACTGGGTGAGACCCATGTGTATATACAGCTTTTTGCTGAGAAGAGGCCCCAGTCCAGGTGGTTGGAGCACAACTCAAGCGGAAAGCCACCATGTTTGTGGCTTCAGGGACCTGAGGACAGAGCTGGGGCTGCCAGAGCAGCTGTAAATGAAGGGGAGAAATTCTGAAAGAGAGCCGCAGAGGGGAGAGCCCTGAAGTCTGCATACAGAAACCTCTCAAATCCTTGGCAGAGCCTGAACAGCACAGGTGAGGCTCCAGGGAGTCCTGAGAGAAGAGATGGCAGGAAGGCCAAAGAGAACCGCAGGGCTCGACACCAAGAGGCCACCCAGAGCCAACAGCATCAGGCCGCGTCCCTGCTAAATGCCGCCTGCTGGGAAAGCTCAAGGCTGCCGGGAGAATGACTTCTGTCCCAGCCAACACCCTGACCCAGGCCCCTGATCTTCCTTTCCCACAGCATGTCCTAGAAGGGCTTCACTTGTGGATCCTCCCTGTCCCTTTGTGATTTGCATCTATCTCCTACTACTCAGGAGCAGTCCTTCCCGGGGACCTGAAAGGACAGGCCAGGTCTCCCAGGCTCTGCGGAAAGCCCGAAGCCTGACGTCCACAGCGAGTGGACACAGCTGCTCATCACAGCGACACTGACCCGTCCTCTGTCAACTTCCCACTGGAGCCCCCTCTCGCCCCCGCTCTCCCTTTGACGTGCCCAGTTACCTCTACGCGAATAGCAATGGAGCTCAGCTCCCTCCCCTACTGTCAACAGTCACTGACTAACATCTGTTTTCACTGCTTCAACCAGTGTCCAGCTTTGATCCTCTCTGACACCCATCACAGGAAAATGGAGTTTGGAGCAAGAGTCCTGCCAAGTTAAGAAGGCTCTGTAAGCACCTCAGGGCCCCCACAGAACCCTGCAGGGCCAGGCCTGAGGAGTAAAGACCGTGTTGCAAGACAAAGAGAAAGTGCTCTATCAACAAGGACAAAACCAAAGAGGTGCTCCACAGCAGGCGAGGCAAACAGTGGCTCCCCATCACCATACCCAGCACAGCATGGGCAACGCCAGGCAGGCTGAGAAAGTAGAGTGTGCTGCATGCCCAAGGCATCCAGCCGACAGAAAGTGAACCCAGACTGCCCGGATGTTGACCTGAACAGGCAGGACTTAAAAGCAATTATAAATATGATGTTCAAAAACTTAAGGATAAGATGGCTACAGTGAGTTTGTTTTTTAAAAAGGAGAATCTCACATAACAAATGGAAACTATAAAACAAACAAACCTTCGGAAAAGGTTAATTCTACAACTAAAAACTGAAACACGGGCCCAGATTGAGGTGCGGAGCCCCAAGTCAAAGCTGTTACGTTTTTGTTTTGTTCTGCTGTAGCTCTTTTCCCCTCTCCTGAAGATTTATTTTATTTAAAAAAGATGCTCAAAAAGCCCCGGAAACCCTAGAAGTGCGGAGGCAGGGCAAGGAAGTCAACTAGCTAGGGAGGGTGGGTGGTTTTTTGCCAAAAGCCTTGGATGGAGCAGATGGAATCATCTGGTGCCGTCCTGAGTGGGACCCCAGAGTATCTCCTGTGTGGAAGGGTCCCTGGACTTGCCCAGCCCCACCCCCCTACCCCCCGCCTTCAGCCATGTTGCTGGCAGAGGCAGAGAAGATCAGAAGGTACAGCCCATTTCTGACTGGAGAGGGAAACTTGTCAACTGGCTTTGCGGAGAAGATTCCACCTTATGCTCACAGTACATCATCTTTAGCATGTGCTAGGGTATCACATTTTAAAAGGCCAAAAAAAAAAAAACCACTGTAAAATACTTGAATGAGCTTGTATTGTAACATTAATACTACTGAGTATCTGCTTTCCAGGCTGAAGTGATTCATTCATTATTCTAGTCCTGCTTTAGTCCTTTGCAATTTGTGGTAATTAAGCTTTTCTTTTTAATACAAAAAAGTATAAAAATAAAAATTTGAAAAGGCAGAAAAAAAAAAGCCGAAACATACAAAATAAAAAATTTATTAGTGAAAAAAAATTTATCAGCGGCATGCTCACCACTCCTGTTCAACATCGTGCTGGAGGTCCCAGACAGCACAATGAGACAAGAAAAAGACTTGGAAAAAGACGCAGGAAAATTGGAAAAGAAAGAAAATTGTCTCTATTCACAATAAGAAAATCACAGTAGAAAATTCTAAGGAGTCTATAAAAAATATACTAGAGCTAATAAGTGACTTTAGCAAGGATCCAAGGTACAAGGTTATATAATAAACTCAAAAGTGTCTATATTCCAGCAATAAAAATTGGAAATTTAAATTTAAAGCACAGTACCACTTGCAACAGCATCAAATAACAGGAATTACTGAGGAATAAGTCTAATAAAATATGTGCTAAATTTGTTACGCTAAAAGGTACAAAACACTGATGAAAGAAATCAAAGACCTTTAATACAGACATACTGTGTCCATGGAATGTTAAAGATTTTGATTTTCCCCAAAATGATCTATAAATGGGACTCAATTCCAGCAAGAATTCAGAAATCAAGAAACTAATTATGAAATTTTTATTGGAAAGGCAAAGGAACTAGAATAGTCCATACAATTCTGAAAAGGAACAATGTAGTTGGAAGATTCAAACTATCTGATTTTCAGTTACTATAAAGTTGCAGTAATCAGAACCGTGTGGTCCCGGAGAAGGCACACATACATAAATCAACAGAAAAGAAATAGAGCCACATATATATGGTCAACTGATTTTCAATAAAGGCACAAAGGCAATTCGATGGAAGGATGATAGTTTTTTCAAAATATGATGCAGGAACAATTAGACATCCATAGGCAAAAAAAAAAAAAAAAAGAAACTTGATCCAATCCTCACACCGTATACAAAAATTAACTCAGATGGATCATTTATCTAAATGTAAAATAAAAGACTATAAAAATGTCTACATGGGGAGGGTGGGTATAGCTCAGTGGTAGCATGCATGCTTAGCACGCACAACGTCCTGGGTTCAATCTCCAGTACCTCCATTTAAATAATAAACAAATCAATAAATAAACAAATCTAATTACCCCCAATCCCCCCAAAAAACAAATAAAATGCATTTTTAAAAGTCTGTAAGACATGGGGGGAAATCTTTGTGACTGTGGGCTAAGCAAAGATTTCTTAAGATATAACACCAAAAGTATAATTCTATAAGCAAAAATTAATACATTGGTCTTAATCCAAATTTAAAACTTCTGCTCTTTGAAAGACATTGTTAAGAGAAAGAAAAGGTAAGCCACATACCGGGAGAAAATATTTACAAATCACATACCCAATGAAGAAACTTCATCCAGATTATATGAAGAACACTACAAACTCAATAATAAGAAAACTAATCACCCAGTTAGAAGAATGGGCACATCTGAAAAGATACTTGGATGGAAGGATGGGTGGCAAACAAGCACGTGCTTATGGGAATGCAAAATGGTACAGTTACTTTGAAAATGTTTCTCACAAAATTATACAGGTAACCTTACTTATTTAGCCATGAAATGAATACTTACATTCACACAAAAATCTGTTTGCAAAGTTTCCAGCAGCTTTATTTATAATCTCCCCCATCCAGAAACAAACTCAAAAGGCCTTCAGCTGGTGCCCGCATAAATAAACTGTCACATATCCATTCAATGGAAAACTGCTCAGTGGCTTAAAAGACAGACACGTGCCACAACATAAATGATTCTCCAACGCATTACAGTTAAGTCAAAGCAGCCAGACTCAAAGGCTGCAAAATACTGCATGATTCCATGTGCATAATTCCACTTTTATGACATTCTGGAAAAGGCAAAACTAATAGGGACAGAAGACAGATGAGTGGCTACCAAGGACTAGAGGCAGGGGAAAGAAATGACTACAAAGAAGCACAGAGTCATTCTGGGGGGTGATGGAACTGTTCTGTATTTTGATTGTGGTGATGATTACATGACCATGCATTTTTCAAAATTATCACACAGTTCTACATTAAAAATAATTAAAATTTATGGGTAAAAGATGTCAGGCAAATATGGCAAAATGTTAAAATCTGACAAAAGTAGATGTGGATGTCCAACTGTTTATAATATTTTCCATACTTTTTTGTATGTCTAGAGTATTTCCTAATAAAAAGTTAAGACTTTTTAAATTGTTTTTAATCAAAAGTAATGATTTTTTTAAAAAGCTTCTTGTCCTCTGATGCGTGCAGTTTTTACTAAAAATGTTGAACGTGACCACAACCGTGAGAAAACAGAAAAATCCAACTTGAAATATGTTTTGCAAAGCAACTGCCCCTACTCTTCACAAATTTCAATTACATCAAAGATACAAAAACAAAAACAGGGAACTGACCCAAATTAAAAGAGAGTAAAAGGCCATAACAATTAAATGCAATGTATAATTTTTGATTGGATCCTGGATCAAAACACATTATAGAATATATTATTGGCACAACTGGAGAAATTTGAGTATGGACTATATACTAGAAAATAGCGTTGTATCAGTGTTACATTTTTCATGTGTGGTAATTGTGGTTATGTAAGAGAAAATCTTTGTTCTTAAGAAACACATGCATAAGTATTTGGAGGCCACCACTAATTCTCCAATGGTTCAGCAAAAGAAAGAAAACACTTTTATATACATATATTTATAAAGAAATATGCAAGTATGTTAACTGTTGAATCTAGGTGTAGAGTATATGGTTATTTCAATACTGTTTTTATAACTTGTTTTTATGTTAGAAAATCTTCAAAATATCAAGTTGAGGAAAGATGTTTCTAAAAAATTTTTAAGGTATCATAGGTACTTTGAAGTTGCTAGAATGTTCCATTTAAAAAAAAATCTGCTTCTATGAGCAAATCTCACTTCTGGGTATATATTCAGAGGGAACTCTAATTTGAAAAGACAGATGCACCCTGAAGTTCATAGCAGCACTATATACAACAGCCAAGACATGGAACCAACCTAAATGTCCACTGGCAGATGACTAAGAAGTTGTGGTTTATTTATACAATGGGATACTACTCAGTTATAAAAGAGAATAAAATAATGTCATTTGCAGCAACATGGATGACCCGGAGACTGTCATTCTATGCGAAGCCAGAAAGAGAAAGAAAAATACTAACATATCAGTCAGATGTGGAATCTAAAAA